GGAGGAAACCGGAGTACCCGGAGAAAACCCACGCGGGCCGGGGAGAACATGAAAACTCCACACAGGGAGGCCGGAGCTGGAATTGAACCCGGTACCTCTGCACTGTGAGGTCGACGCGCTAACCACTAGAACACCGGGCCGCCCCTGTTGGTATATTGTAATAAAAAAAAAAAAAATCATGGTGTGGGCACCATCCTTCCTTGAGCTCAACCCTTTCATAAACCTGGATAGCAAGCAGCCATCTCGTTACCTCTGCATCCCGCGTCCTAGACGCACAATTTTCCCGCGGGACGCACAGTTCCAAATAATGTGTGTTTTTGGGACGCAAGGAAATTTCTCTGTCAAAACAAAAAAAAAAAAAAAAGGCGGCAGGCCTGAGGACTTCACGGTAACGATTGTTACCGGTAACGTGTCGTTTCCGTAGCGTCATTTTGACGGTACCGAAAAATCGTTTAACCATAAAAGTCAACGCACACGAGTTGACTGTACCCGATCAAATCTCTCCTGTGTGATCAACGCGCTTTCACTGTGCTTGTATGTGTGTTTGTGGTGTGTGAGTGTGAGTGTGTTTCTTCTAATTTACTTTCGTTTTGTTTTGTTTTCAGTGTTGTGGGGGACGGAACAGATAACTTTATGTGCGCATGCGGGTTGCTATTTTAGTCCACAAACTGAGGAATCGCACGGATGAAAGTTTGAGATGGCGGCGAAAAAAACTCACAATGGTCGACTAATTACGACATTTAAGAAATGGGAATGCGAGTCTGATTTTCGTATGAATGGTCCAAAGGGCGTATCACTAAACTCACCTGTGACGTATGCACAGAACACGAGAGCGAGATCGACCGGAGGCACGATTACGAGGCAAGTTGGTCATTTGATCTATAGGCTAATCACTATGAAAAACATTATGAAACAGTATTGGTTATTCTATTATTTACTGGTTATAGGATGGTAACTTTATGAATAAAACATTCGTCACAAGGTGTAGTAATGCTAATGTTAACTATTGGTAGAACTGTTAACATTATGACGTGTGTTAGATTCTTTCGTCAAATTGAGAGTAGATTACACATGCATCGTCTTGGGAAGAGGATGTTAAGCCACATCAATACTTACCTGTATTAATGATTACCAGTAAATTAATCTTTGCAGTGTGAGATTGGAAAAAAAATACTCTGATTTTGTGGTATGCTGTATTCATGATGCCATATGAGTACACCATATTTTGATCCATTAATTTTTTTGAATAAACCTGGAGTACACAGCTGCTGATGTAATGCTTATTGTTAATGCATAGTTTTCAAACATTTACCCTTGAAACATTATACTTTAGAGTTTCAGAATTCTTGATTATGAAGATCAGTCAAAATAGAAAAATGGGTTCTCATGATGAACGTTTACGGAACCCAAAATTAGTTACCGTGGTTTCCCATTGGGTCATCCGACGGAACCGAAAAAACGGTTACCGTGAATTTCCGAAATCCTCAGGCCTGCTACTGAATTATTTAAATTTTTGCAGCATTTGTTTATGTATGTATATGTTGTTGTTTGTGTTATTATCTATATATATATATATAATAGATATATTATATCTATTATATATATAGTTCGTGTTTGCTTTCAAAACTTAGCTTGTAGCAGACGTGCACATTTTCAGCATGACATCTCTGATCCACTGGTAAAAGGACACTTTGATCCTCTCCTCTTTCATCTATAACTGCTTCAGAACAAAGAGTA